GAATTCGTTCGTCGAAAGGTGCCGATTCGTGCCCAACTCGTCTATTCTCCGGTTTATTCAAGCCTGCAATGGGATTCTGAAATATTCAATTATTACTTGTCGAATTGGTCAGAATTGGAAGTTAATTACAATTACTTAGTAAAGTCAGTCTCCTAGTTGGCGTATCCGGCCCAGGGAGGTTCTGACTCTCGGCGGCCTCACAAAATTGGCCTGACAACGCCAGCACGGTATATTAATTATCAACCGAGTGTGCAGGCAGCCTACGCGAGGTTGGACATGATAAGTTGTTCAGGTGCGTGCTTTGTTCGAGGCCTGCTCATCTTCACCCTCCTACCAAACGGGGCGGCTGGTTGATGAGGCAGGCAGTTAACGAGTCTACTCGTCTTGACGAGAGTCATTTCGAGACGGACGAAGGGGCGATATGGGAACAAGAGATGGTAAGGTAGCTGCAGAGATTAAGACAGCAGGGAGTGGTTGCTACTTTCTGCGAGGTTAGTGGCTGATTCAGGCGAATAATGGAGTTATGAGAAGGCCAATGAACTGTAGAAGATTTATGGCCATTCCATTCCTCTCCAACTCCCCATAAACTCTGTATGCCCCACTCCTGCCCCTCCCCCCCCACTCCCAATTGCGCTTGCGCCCAACCCTTCCTCCCAGAACCTACTTTGCCAACGCTGCCAGATCGTATTTGGCCCACGGCAGCTCCGTGAAACTCAAGCTGACCGACGTGGACCAGATGAAATCCAACCAACTATCGTTAGAGCTGAACAGCAAAGTTGGCCTCAAACTCTCACCAATTCGGGAAAACAAAATTCCAATGTGTTTTGGGATACAAGTCCTATTGCGAAATGGAAAATTCGTTTTGGAAGCCGGAGTAATAACATTAACATGAAAACAATTAGGACGCCTACACGTAGAAGATAAGTGAACCTTACAATTTATTAGAAATTTGTACTTACAAGACATCGTCTTGCTGTTGTGACTGTTGCTTTGTGCAAATACTCTTCTGTCTTGCATCGGGGCCAACTTGCGAAGCGCTTAAATACACATTTTATAGTGAAATTATGGGAGGATTTACTGAAATACCCCC